TCCTGGGAGGTGGAGGTGGGAGAAGAGGCAGTCTGGGGGGTGGGAGTAGCCCAGGAGCCCGTGAAAAGGAAAGGAGTGAACCAGTTTTCACCGGAGCAGAGGATCTGGGCCATGCGGAAGTATTGGGAACAGCACTGGGCGCTCACCTGCCCGGAAACGCCTTTGCACCTGCACGGGAGGCCTAGGAGGATCCGGGTGTATCTGGACTACGAAGGGGGGCTGGTGGCGTTTTACGATGCGGGCAACCAGGCCCCGATCTTCACTTTCCCCCCCGCCACTTTCGCTGGGGAGACCGTCCGCCCTTTCTTTGAGCTGCTGAGCTCGGCCTCCCAGATCAGACTGTGCCCCTAAGACACAAGATGAACCCTCCGGGATGGGCCTCGTCTCTGTTGCGCCCATCCTACCTCGACCAGACCAGCTCTTTGCTTCAGCTTGAGCATCTCGCTGTTATTGTGAGGACTGGCGGGACGGCAGCACCCTTGCAGGCTCCGCGAGTGAGGGAGAAGCCGGCTGGCTTTGCGGAGGGGATGAGATCAGCTCGGAGACCCCAGGTTGGCGTGGGAGGAGGTGGGGACTCAGTGAAGCTGACAGCCTCATCGGGCCCCTGGGTAAGGGTGGGAGGGCCCTGCTCTGGGCTCCGAGAGGGCGGAGCTTTCAGCCAGAGGGGCGGGGCTGGGGCTAGTCTCAACCCAGGCAGCCTCGGTGCTGCCCAGAGAGTGCCACATGGGATTTAAAGCGTGGCCGGTATCATAGGCAGGGGAAGGCGTTGCCTTCCTAAACCACCAGCAAAACCTCTGGGGGCGGAGTCCTCTTCACAGGCCCCACCCAGACTCCACCCCCAGAGAGCCTACTGGAGGCAGAGTGTTGCAGACTGATCCAGAGCCAGGGGAGGCTGAGGTCACATGCCCTCCCCCTGGTGCTGGGAAGGGGTGGCGTGGCTCCTTTGGGTGGCAGGGTCTGGGCAGAAGGGGCAGGGCTGGGGGGTTGTCTGGAAGGCCTGGGCCCTTTTGAACTGCCAGGCCCTGCTGGGGCAATTGCCTCCTTTCTCCCCTATCAGCAGGCCTGTGAGGACTTGAAGCTGGCAGGAGGTAAAGTTGCCCGGGCTGGTCCGTTGCCTGGTCAGTGCAAATCTCCAGTTGGGAAGGGGCGCACTTGATCCAATACTTCTTGTCCCAGGAGCAGCGGGGGAAGAATTCAGAGCAGCGCTGCTGCTGGCGGCTTGAGTTCAGCCAAGAAAGGGCTTCCCTGTCCCCTTGGACTTCATCCCTTAGGAAAACCCAGATCTCACTCAGGTCCAACCTCTTCCCACCCAGTTCTGAGGGGTGGAGCCCATCTTGCTGCATGTTGTCCAGGCTGTTCAGCCCAAATCAAAGATCTTTAGGGTCTAATTTCCATTGATTTGAGTGGAGCCTAAGTGTTGCTGAAGATCGAGGCTTGAGCTCCTAAGTAGCAATAACTATTCTAGGCTGGGCTGTCCTTAGGATTTATGGGGCCCTATTTGGTGCTATTACATCGGCATACCCTATGCCCGGTGGGAGAATGAAGATTTTTTAGAGAGGGGATTTTTATAATCTTCAGCAACACTCTAACGAAATATTTTTAAAGCAGATTTTAAAAACTAAGGTCCGGTCGACTAACCCAGTCAATTCACAAATGAACAGTATACCCTCCCTCTCCACCTCTGGGGTTGGTACATGCCTGTTAAAAGGCTTCCTTATCACTTGAATGGCTTTTTCACAAGTTCTGCTAATGTTGTTGACAAAACCTGCCAAACCTAAATGGTCTGGTAGCACTTTATAGACTAACAAAACATAGATGGTATCGTGGTAGAAATGTAGCCGTGTTAGTCTGGTGCAGCTGAAACAAAAAACAGGACTGTGTAGCACTTTAAAGACTAATTTTTTTTAATTGTATCCTTTGGTATATATGGTTGTGACAATTTTCTTCCACTATTTGATCTGAGGAAGTGGGTCTGGCCCACGAAAGCTCATCACCTAATAAACCATCTTGTTAGTCTTTAAAGTGCTAGATGAGCTTTCGTGGGCCAGACCCACTTCCTCAGATCAAATAGTGGAAGAAAATTGTCACAACCATATATACCAAAGGATACAATTAAAAAAAGTAAACACATATGAAAAGGACAAATCACATTTCAGAACAGAAGGGGGATGGAGGGGGGGAGGGGAAAAGGGGGAGGTAAATGTCTGTGAGAATGATATTAGAGGTGATAATTGGGGAAGCTATCTTTGTAATGGGTAAGATAATTAGCATCTTTATTCAAATTTGCGTGAAAGTGTCAAATTTAAGCATGAATGACAGTTCAGAGGATTCTCTTTGAAGTGAAGTCTTAAAAGGTCTTTGAAGCAGGATGTAGGTAATCAAGTCGTTAAGACAATGTCCTTTCTGGATGAAATGGCAAGAAACTGTTTTTTTTTTGTGATCCTGTCTGCTATCTGTTTTGTGGGCATTGATCCTTTGGCGATCCTTAAAGCTCATCACCTATTAAACCATCTTGTTAATCCTTAAAGTGCTACACAGTCCTGTTTTTTGTTATAGATGGTATCATGAGCTTTCGTGGGCACAGCCCACTTCTTCAGACCGGCGTTTTCCACAGTTACCCTTTGATGGTGTGTGTCAGGCTACCCATCGCTGTCTCTCACTCTTGGGCAGGTCTCTGCCTGTCTCCAAGGTTGTCAATGCTGCCAATTTAATTCAGCCCCAAGACACAATGGCTGTTTCCTTGTTATCTTCAACGTTTCCACTTCTTCTTGATCACCTGGGCATCTGCAATGGCTTTCACTCACACTCCCATTAAACAATTATGCAGAGCATCAGACAAGATTAATAGTTACTAGAAGACACAACTTAGTTTGTGGTGCAGACAAGGGGCACAGCTTAATTTGTAATGCTAACAGGAAGCAAGGCCTTACAGTAAACGTCTAATCACGAGAGAGAGAGAGAGAGAGAGAAATAGAAGCTACAGAATTTATAAGCAAGTAATTAAACATCAAATCATTACACATCATACTTATAGTCTTATAAATCAATACTAAACAATTCTAAAATATACATTTGTGCTACAGATCCTATCCAGAGGAAGGAAAACCACAGAAGAGGGATAGGAAGAGGAGGATGGGTGGACATTAAGACCCAGCAGTGCCCCAAATTTTCAGGTATCCTACACAGATGCGTATTCTGCATGTGGGTAAAAACGGCCCTAGGAATCATTACTTGGCACTTGAGTGACTGTGGTCCACAGAACACTCAGCGAGAGACAGGCCCTACCCCAGCTGAGATCAGGGCCCCGTTGTGCCAGGCGCTGCACAAACACACAGCAAGAGACAATCTCTACACCAGCTACAGAGCTAAGCACAATCCTTCCACAACTGTGCCCTCACATATGTTAATCACAGAATAATTCCTAAAGCTCATAGTTTAAAAAGAAATACCAGCATTGGGGTGATCCTTCTTCAGGACTTCATACACATAAAGCCAGTAAGAGTCCTTCCTACTCCTCTTTTGCTTTTCATTTTTTTTAAACCAAGAGAGACATATTAGAAATATAGATTGAGGCTTCAAGAGACTCAATTCAATTAGATTAAAAATTACTGCTAGCCTTTTTGAAAACAAGTGCTATAAAATAAAGGCTACAATATTGTTCAAGGGAGAACTTAAACCACAAAGCTACAACTTTCTGTTGATAAAAATGTTTCTGTACATCAGCATATGTGGGCCTATCTGTTCTCCTTACAGAGCTCTGTTCTCTTTGTCATATGGACAGTCACTATTTTCAGGCCAATAAGAGAACTAAAAAGCATAGTACACACCATCAACCTGTATGTGTCAATAGATAATCTGTTGTGAGGAAATTATGTGTATACAACAAATAAAGAAGAAACCATATAAACACAAATGCATGGCTGTGATGTTCTAGAAGAGCAAAGGATTATTACCCAGGATTCCAGATGTAAAGTCAAAAGATACTATCTGTACTCAACAGACTCCTAGCCATTGAATAAATGCATTAAAATAAACAACCGATATTTTCAATCAATATCTACAGGCCCCTTCACACAACCCCTTTTCCTGCTCTGAGCTTAGGGTCTGAAATCGGACCTGAGTGAAGACTTAACCACTGGAGCACCGCTCCAACCTCGTTCAAGCCAACCCAGAACAATCGTCCTTTGCTGGGGGAGCGGTATGCAAATTAGGGATTCCAAATGTCAACTTTTCATTGGCTCCCGTGGGGAAACCAATCAAACAGCGCCAAGGTTTGAGAGAAAAATGGGCGTGACCTCGCTCTCGCTATTATCAGAAGCCCTTGGCATGTGCATTCCTAGGGTGAGGAACGTGTTTGTACCGCGCCTAACACAGTAGCGCATCGTTCCTGAGTGGGGGTGCTTTGATAGCCGAGCACAACTCAATACTTGTTAAAACAAGCCTTTAATTGAACCCTTCCTCCGGTTATTAGATACTCACGATATCGGCCCTCATGGGGGAGGGGGTTGGGACCATTTTACAACACGTCTTCCCTCTAACTCTATTTCTCGGTTAAAATCAGAACCGTGATCCTACTAAAGAAGATTGGGGGAAGCGAAGTATGTGGCCCACCGAGAGATCTTTGAAGACCAAATCACTCAAGCAGCAGCTAAAAACAATGCAACGGGGAGGGCATAAAGAAACTAAAAAGGAGCTGGTAAAATCCAGAAAAAAAAATCGGAAGAAACCACATCCCTCGTGAAGCGGGAAACGTCCTCTGGAAAACTCGTCAGGCACTAAACTATTGATTTATTCACCCGAGTGAAAAATCGAAGGTTCTTCTAACAGTCTCCAGCTGAGCTAAGTTTAGCAGGGACTCTCCTACTGTTGTTAGAATTCAGGGCATGGATGTCTACGAACTAGATTTCTGTACCTGTGAAATACCTGCAGCTGAGGAGGCCAAAAGGGGCTGTAGAAACGCTCGCCTAAGAAATACTTAAAAATCCTGTTTTAACACCAGCCTCCGGCTAACTTTGAAAGTTCCCCCAGCCATATCAGGCCCTCGGTTTTCCCTCATTGTAAAACGACCTCGCTGCTAGCACTTTCATACCCGGGGCTTTCTTTCCCTGATCGCCTTCACTAGCAAACCCGCTACACCCAGCCTGAGCCAATTCGCTCTTCTGAGAAACCCCGAGGTGTGGTTCTGAAAAGAACCGTTTTGCTTTATGGTCCTGATGAATCCATAAGAAAATGCCCTTCATGGCGTCTTCTAAGCTCGGCTTCCCGCGGGCTTTGGGGTGCAGCAGCGGGTTGATTTTTCCCGCTAAGGTCACTGGGCCCTGGGGCTCCTATTCCTTTCTTCGCCGGGCTCT